GGGGCGAGCAGGCGGCCGCGAAGATGGCCTGTAAGGACACCGAAGGGCGGGAGAGCAGGAGGCGGACGGCAGGGCGATCACCGCTGGGGGCCCACCCAGGAGGTCGGGCCGAGCCCAGGGAGGGTGGGAACCGCCGTGGGAGGGCGGCGGCCCGCGCACAGCGTGGACTCCACGAAGGGGGAGGCCTCGGGGCTCACGCCATCGCCAGACGGCACAGCGCGGTGAAGCGAGGGCGCGTCCAGAGAGAGGGGTGCGCCGAACGGACCGGCAGGCCGCAATCAGAAGAACGCCTGGGCCGTCGGCCGACGAGCCGGGCGGCCGCGCGGGTGAACCCGGATTGGAGACAGCGCCAGGGGCGGGCGGGCAGGTCCGCACCGGGGGCAGCAGGGGACCTGGCGGGGGACCCGCGGGGGTGCCATGGCGACAAGGAAGCCGCGAGGGTGCCCCAGACGGGCATCGGCGGGCGGGCGAGCGGGCCCGCTGTGGTGAGGCAGCGGGTGGCAAAATAGAGAGGCGCTGATTGAGGGCGCTCCTGGAACGCGGGGGGGAGCAAAGAAGGCCCCGACCCGGCGACCCGCGCCAGGAGCGGGCAGATCCACGCTCGAGGCAACACGGAAGGGGGGGAGGCGGGACACGCGAGCGAGGAGATCACTGACTGGGGCCACACGGACGGCGTGATGCTGCGCCATTTGCGGAAGGCGTTCTCGATGTCCTGGGGTGTCGGGGCTGGGGGAGCGGGCCTGTGCGTCCCGATGGGAGTGACGACTGCGTTGCGCTCGCGTTCCTCGTCGTCCGCTCCGTCGCCGTCGTCAGGGGCGAGCGAATCGTCCGTGGTGTGGAACCAGTTGGCTCCGCCGTGGCCGCACCAGCCCCCCAGCTGGGAGGAGAGGGGACGGGCCGTCGTGCTCGTCCTCGGGGGTGGGGTGCGGGGCGGCGTGGCTGCTCAGGCCCGCGGCGGCCGCTGGGGGAGTGGCGGCGGCCAGCACGAATGGAACCTAATTGCGCCAATCTTCAACCCATATCATCTCTCGGTGCAGTGACGTCGCCTCGCAGGCGCGTGAAAGTGTATGCGTGTGTGTGTGTGTGTGTGTGTGCGTGTGTGTGTGTGTGTGCGTGTGTGTGTGCGTGTGTGTGTGTGTGTGCGTGCGTGTGTGTGTGTGTGTGTGTGTGTGTGTCGGTGTCGGTGTCGGTGTCGGTGTCGGTGTCGGTGTCGGTGTCGGTGTGTGCGTGTGTGGATCTCATCGCCGGGGCCGTGAAATCTTCCACTCCTTCTTTTTCGAGGCGCTCCCTGACCCACCCTCGTCGTCAGCGCGCCTGCTTCGGGCCACGATGCGATGACCCTCCTCGTCGTGCCTGCCTCTCCCCCCTCCCGGCCCCTCCCGGCCCCCCCTTTGTGACGCTGCACAAACGGAAAGTATGGCGTATGGCGCATGGCTTCACGAGTCGCAAACCACGACCGGACGAGGTGGACATGGCGAGTGCTGCGCTGGCACCCAGTCCTCAACCCGCGCCAGCGGGGACACAGGCAGCACGGTGGCCAAGACAAGCGTTGGGACGACGGAATCACCACTTACTTGCGTCAACGCAGACCAGGCCTCCACCGACCGCCCACGCAAGCCCATTCGAAGGGGCAGCCGAACGACATCACATGGACGCAAACAGCCCAAGACACCGAAGCATGGACAGCGCTCGAGCACCACTTCACCGACCTCACGTCGACCAGCACCCGGGACTCAGACCAATGACGTAAAATCTCAGCGAACGTCGAGGCGTCTCGCCCAACCCGCGCCGACACCAACACCAAGGACTTTCTTTTCCTCCTCCTCCCCCTCTCCTCCTAGCTTCTTCTACGTCTCGCATTGCATGAATCCAGACACCTCAGATCCCAGAGGCCATGGCCTCACCCACCTGGTCTGCTCTGGGCCCGCACGCTGTCCGCAACGGTGGTCGCATCGCACCGCATCCCGACCCACCCGGCCTCCCTCTTCCGTCCTCTCTGGAGATCCCGAGGCAGCGCCCAGTGCAGGCGTGGCCGCGCTCCGCCCACGCTCGGGCAGAGCCCGGACCCGAGGCCGGGGCCCCAGGGCGGCCAGCGGAGGCGCCCAAACGGTGCAGGGACCAGGCCGCGTGGCGAGCCAGTGGCGCTCGCGCGCCCCTCGTCCGCCGACTCTATCCGCGGTCGGGCCTCGTCCTCCTTCCTCGTCCGCGCCCGCTCCCTGCTATCCCGCCCGCTCCGCTCGCCTCGCGCTCGGCGCGCCCCGCCGGACTCGTCCCCCGCGCCCGCGACCTCTTGCGCTGAAGTGGTGAGTCGCTGGGGGTACCGGGGTGACTTGTGTTTCTCTCCGAGGACGTTTCGGGCCACGGGGGCCTCCACGGCCCCAAAACCGTGCGGCGGCGGACCGTGCTCGGATCTGCGCGGGAGCCCTCTGGCGGCGCGGTGAGGTCTGCAGGGATTCCGCGGTCACCGCGCGGTCTGTTACTGCGCCGTTCTGGGGCCCCAGGGCCCGCCGGCCCGCGCGCAGAGCGGCCCCGGGCCCGTCCTTGGTCTCACCAGGCAGCGCCACAGGGTCACCACTGCGGGGGTCAACAGCGCCTCCTGGAAATCGAGGATCGAGGATCGAGGATCGAGGATCGAAGATCGAAGATCGATGATGATGATCATGATGATGATGATGATGATGATGATGATGATGATGATGATGATGATGATGGTGGTGGTGGTGGTGGTGGTGGTGATGATGATGAGGATGAGGATGAGGATGATGATGATGATGAGGAGGAGGAGGAGGAGATGGAGGAGGACGAGGAGGAGGAGGAGGAGGAGGAGGAGGAGGAGGAGGAGGAGGGATAATAATAAGAAGAAACTAAGAAGAGGAATAATAATAATAGTTAATAATACGAATAATAATACTAATAATAATAAGAAGAATAATAGTAATAATAATAGTAAGAATAAGCGTACTAATAATATGAATACTAATTATAACAGTAGTAAGAAACTAAGAAGAATAATGATCATGAAAATAAGACAACTAATCATAATAATACTAATACTAGTAAGAAGAATAATACTAATACTAATAAGAAGAATACTACTAATAATAGTAATATTAATATTAATAATAGTATCAATACGAGTAAAACAGTAATAATAGTAATAATAATACCAGCACTAATAGTAATATTACTAATACTGATAATAATAATAATAATCGTAATACTAGTAATAGTAATAATAATATAATTGATAATAATAATAGTACTAGTAATACCAATAATAATAATAATAAGATTCATAATAAGAGAAACAATAAGAATCATAACACTAAGACGACTAATAATAATAGGAAGAGGAGGAGGATGAGGAGGAGGAGGGAAGAGGAGGAGGAGGAGGAGGCGGAGGCGGAGGCGGAGGCGGAGGCGGAGGAGGAGGAGGAGGAGGAGGAGGAGGAGGAGGAGGAGGAGGGCTTGGGCGTTTCTGGGTGTCTTCGGGAGTCCTTGGTGCCAGCCTTGGGGCCCAGGCATGAACCTCACTTGAGCGGCATAAGCATGGCCTTTCGGAGCGCTGCGCGGGTTTCTTGGGTCGGCGCTGGACCCCACCTCCCTGGTGCGCGGAGCGTGCCAGGTGTGCGCCAGAGGGTGTCCATCGCCGACCCAAGAACTTCGCGCGGACCTCCGACAGGATTGTTTACGCAGTTCTCTCCTCTCCTAGCAAAACCCCTCGGGTCATCTCTACCCTCGTCCTCGGGCTCATGGCTCTCAGCACCGTCGTTCTCAGCCTTGTCCTCGTGCTCCTTCCTCTCGTCCTCACCCGTCGTTTTCGTCCTCGTTCTCGTCCTCACCCTAATCACCCTCCTCGCCTTCGTCTCCACCCTCGCTTTCTCCTCGTCCTCGTCCCTCGTCCGTATTTCTCTCGCCTTCTCCCTCCTCGCCGCCTGCTCCTTACCCTCCTCCTCCGCCTCCTCCTCCTTCTCCTCTTCCTCCTCCTCTTCCTCCTCCCTGTGGCGCATTAGCAGCAGTTTGAGGATGCTGAGGATGGGGGGCAAGAATAGGTAGCGCCGACGACGATGACGACTTGACCCAGATATCCAATGTATTTTTCGATACGGGGTCCGCGGAAGTCCCCAGATATCCGTTGCCTTGTTTGACATCCGAAGTCCTGGCCCTTTCCCCATGGCTGGCTTTTCATCCTGAGCCGTTTGCTGTCGGCACCAGTGTCTGGTGAGCGCCTCCAGATGTCGACCGCGGCGAACCACAATGTCTTGATTTGTCGAAGCTGCTGGAGGCCTGGCTTTCGGGCCATAGCTGGTGCCCCCCGCGGCCGATCGGGACGATTCGGGCGCCCCTGGAGCGCTCTCGACGACGCGCCGCTGCTGGAAGGCATCCCGCAGCGAGAAGACTTCGAGAGCCGACGACAACGTCTGAAGACTCCCGAAAGCCATGCGGTCGGCGTCACCCAAACATACCTATATTTACTAGGACTATGCGCGCGTCGCTCCCAAAAGGGGTGAAGCGCGCACTCAGAAACCTTACAGTATATGCTCCGTGTGGCGGGCGCTTTCTGGTCCTACCGCTCGGAAAAGGACATGCTACAAGATGGTCGTACTACATGTACGGGTCGGACGCCCGCCTCCGAGGCGGTAACATAGTACTCGTACGGGGCGATGTACGACGGCGATTTGCGACGGCGATGTCGGAGGCCGAGAGATCGTTACCAACACAAATGTCGGCGGCGTGCCTCCACCGAGGGAAAACCCGATTTCGGTGATGGTAATATTCGGGCTTCTTGGGTGGCCAAGAGATTACAACCAGTACCAACATCCAGGATCTTCCCCCAATGGATGAAACCCCCTGTGTTGGTGTTGGTGCCAATTTTCAGGCCTCCAACATGTGTTTGAAGACCCGACGACGACGACGAAAGCGACGGCGATGACGGGGCCTCCCTGGGCTCGCGCTGGGGCCCCTAGTTCCGACGCGTGCCCCCCCGCTTTGCCGCCCAGGGTGGGCAGAACTGCCCGCATGGGCCGGGCCGGCCGGGCCGTCACCGTGTACACGCCTGAGGAGTACATGAAGGCGAGCCGGTCGTCTGGCCAGGAGGAGGAGCGAGGGGAAGGATGGGGAGGAGGAGAAGGAGGAGGAGGAGGAGGAGGAGGAGGACGAGGAGGAGGAGGAGGGGGAGGGGGAGGAAGAGGAGGAGGAGGAGGAGAAGGAAGAGGGAGGGGGAGGAGGAGAAGGACGATGAGGAGGAGGAGGAGGAGGAGGAGGAGGAGGAGGAGGAGGAGGAGGAGGAGGAGGAGGAGGAGAGGAGGAGGAGGAGGAGGAGGGGAGGAGCGGGAGGAAGAGGAGCGGGAGGAGGAGGAGGGAGAGGGGGAGGGGGAGGGGTTGGAGGAGGTGGAGGAGGAGGCGAGGAGGAGGAGGAGGATGCGGAGGAGGAGGGGGGAGATGGAGGATGATGATGATGAGGAGGAGGAGGAGGGAGGATGGAGGGTGAGGATGAGGAGGAGGGGTAGGAAGAGGGAGGGGGAGGAAGAGGAGTGGGAAGGGAGAGGAGGGGGAAGGGGAGGGGGAGGGGGAGGGGGATGGGGAGGAGGAGGAGGAGAAGGAGGAGGAGGAGGAGGACCAGTGCAAACCCACGACGCAACAACGATGTAGCAATACACGCTGCCTCCAAATTTCCTGTTCAGAGGGCCTTCCAATAATTACTTTCCACATTTCCTAAGTGGCTTCTTGTTTTCTCTGGACACCCCGCGCAGGAACAGGAACAGGAATCCACGCACACCATCCACACCAGTATCATCATTATCATTATCATTACCATCATCATCGCCATCATTATCATCATCATCATCATCATCAGCATCATCATCATCATCATCATCATCACCATCCTCCTCATCATCATCACCCCCTCTCTTCATCACTCACACACTCACACACTCACACATTCGCTCTCATCACCCTCCTCCTCCTCCTCCTCATCATCATGATCAGCATCATCATCATCATCATCATCATCATCATCACCATCATCATCATCATCATCATCATCATCATCATCATCATCTGCATCAGCCCTCAGTCCCTCACTCACTCACCCACTCATCATCATCATCACCATCATCATCGACATCACTCCCACACTAATTCACACTCACACACAGACACACTCACACACACAGTCACACACTCCTACGTCCATCTTGTGGAAGTCTCAGGTGGGAGCCTCGTCTGTCAGTGAATTGTTCGGAAGTCTCAGGCGGGCCCCCCAGGCCCGCACTTCGTGTTGGTAATCGGAGCGGGTCGTTTTAATCCCATAACTATCGTCACTATTGGGCCTCTTCGCGCCTGAATGTTGAAGAAACTTCAGGCGAAAGCCTCGTTTGTGAGTGAATTGCGAGGAAGTCCCTGGCTGGAGCCCACTCCCCATGGAACCCGCATTTTATGTTGGCAATCGGAGCCAGGAATCCACATCCTGTAACCGTCGTCACTTTTGGGCCCCGCATGCTTGAATTTTGAAGAAGCCTCAGGCGAAAGCCTCGTTTGTGAGTGAATTGCGAGGAAGTCTCATGCGGGAGCCCCTTCCCTATGGAGGCCGCGTTCATGTCGGTAATCCGAGTCGGACCATCCAAATTCCGTAACTGTCGTCACCTTGGAGCCCTTCACGCCTGAAGTTTGAAGAAGCCCTAGGGTGGAGCCTCGTTTGTGAGTGAATTGCGAGGAAGTCTCAGGCAGGAGTCCCTTCCCTATGTAGCCCGCATTTTATGTTGGTAATATGAGCCGGTCATCCAAATCCTGTAACTGTCGTCATTTTTGGATCTCTCACGCCTGAAATTTGAAGAAGCCTCAGGCGGGAGCCTCATTTTCATTTGTGAGTAAAATGCGAGGAAGTCTCAGACAGGAGCCCCTTCCCTACGGGGCCCGCGTTGCATATTGGTAATCCGAGCGGGCCATGCGAAACTTAGACCAGTCCCCAATTTTGGTTTCCCCAGCCAGGCTTGAATCTTGAGGAACTCTCAGGCGGGCCTCGTCCATGAGTGAGTCGCGAGGCAGTCTCGAGCGGGAGCCCCTTCGCTATGGGGCCCGCAGCTCCATTTTGGAATCCGAACGAGTGCTCGGGATCTCGTAGCTGTCGTCACTGTTGGGCGGGGCCACATTCGCGGGGTCACATTTGTGCTCTTAAGAGGGCCACTCGCTCGGGTGAGCCCAGTGCGTCACGGTCGACTGCGCCAGGGATGCGGACGCTGGTCGCACGGGCAAGTCGGACGAGCAGTGGTGGCTGCACCTCTACGTCATGTTCTCCGGCGCCACGCGCATGCGGAACATGCTGATCCTGCGGCCGCCCACGCGAGAGTTCCTGGGACGGGGGCCGCCGGCGCCCCTGCGGAAGGCGTTCCGGAAGTTCGACGAGATAGCGGAGAGCTCCAGCACCGAGGCGGAGCAGCTCGCAGCACGGATGGGTCTCGCGCTGCCCCCCGCCTGAGCGCGACCGCGCCCACTTCGAGGCCCGCGGGGTTTTCCCAACGGCCTGGCCCGCTGTCCCGACGGCCCGCCCCCTCGCTGGGGGATGTCCGAAACGCATGGCC